ATACCGTTGGCATCTGGGATTTTGGGTTATACCGTTGGGATCTGGGATTTTGGGTTATACCGTTGGCATCTGGGATTTTGGGTTATACCGTTGGGATCTGGAATTTTGGGTTATACCGTTGGGATCTGGGATTTTGGGTTATACCGTTGGCATCTGGGATTTTGGGTTATACCGTTGGCATCTGGGATTTTGGGTTATACCGTTGGGATCTGGGATTTTGGGTTATACCGTTGGGATCTGTGATTTTGGGTTATACCGTTGGCATCTGGGATTTTGGGTTATACCGTTGGGATCTGGGATTTTGGGTTATACCGTTGGCATCTGGATTTTGGGTTATACCGTTGGGATCTGGAATTTTGGGTTATACCGTTGGGATCTGGGATTTTGGGTTATACCGTTGGCATCTGGGATTTTGGGTTATACCGTTGGCATCTGGGATTTTGGGTTATACCGTTGGGATCTGGGATTTTGGGTTATACCGTTGGGATCTGGGATTTTGGGTTATACCGTTGGCATCTGGGATTTTGGGTTATACCGTTGGGATCTGTGATTTTGGGTTATACCGTTGGCATCTGGGATTTTGGGTTATACCGTTGGCATCTGGGATTTTGGGTTATACCTTTGTATGAATTGTCCCTATTGTAGTAATATCACTCCCTCGAAAGCTTTTGTGGATTTTAAAGAACATTCAAGATAAAAGATTTTATAAACTGTAACACTGCATTTATTATTTATAATTTATCTTGGCGTACTAAAGCACGTCTACTGGATCGTTTGGCGGAGCATAAATATGCTATTCGTACCAATAGCCCCGACTATCAGATGGCCCAGCACTACCTGCATATGAAGAGTTCAGATGCAAAAGCCTCTAAGTGCCATTTGAAATTTTCTTCTAGAATGATAATTTTTATCAAGCTTGTATATTTAAGTTCAGTGATTTCACTTAAATGGCAATGATAATTACCTATTAATTGTTATTTAAGTGAAATTACTGAACTTAAATATACAAGTTTGATAAAAATCATCATTAAAGAAGAAAATTTCAAATGGCATTTAGAGGCTTTTGCATCTGAACTCTTCATATGCACAATAGGAATGATTCTCTATAGAGGTCTTGGAGCATGTTAAAACTTGGAGCATGTTAAAACTTTTGGACCCGAGTCATTTTGGATTCATCAGCTGGATGCGCTCCGATATCCAGGTCTGAACGAGGACATTGAGTTTAAATTTTTCTTATAATATGGTTTTTGTCCTGTACTTATGTTTGTTTTTCCTCTATATTCAAAACATGATAATTGTCTTATTGTCTTATTTTCCTCTCCATATAACCTATGTTGAGGGAGATGGTTTTGGAGATTTTTTGTGAGTTTCACCTGTTATGAAACTCGTTATGTTGATTTTCCCCTATCCTGTTAGACCTGATTGTCTTATTGGGTTAACTGATTGTATTAGGCCTATATTAGGCCTGTATTAGGTTAATTGTATTCTGTCTGATTATACGTGGGACTTAACTTATAATTTGTTGGCATTTTCATATCTTGTGTTACTTTGCCCTGAAGAAGACCACTTGGTCAAAAGATGTTGGCTCATGTATTTTAATATTGACTTAAGCCACATTTAATAAAGGCTTTTTTAACTTTATCCTTCTCCTCATTAAAGACTTGACTGAGTGCCTGGGACCTGTCCTTTTGTTTCTTTGGATCTTTCCCCTACCCCAAGAGGACCTATCACAGACTTACGTATATACTTTACCTGAGTACCTGGTTGAACCTTTTACAGTTCAAGATACTATTTTGTTGATCCTGGAACAACATTCCTGTCTTAAAATGTAGTCCTAACTCTATCCCTACCCCTAAACCCTTTAACTTGTCACTAAAGGGAGGGAAATGATAGGTGAATAACACTGATGTAGAAGCACATAACCCTGCAGAAGCTGAAACTTGAAAACTGTAAACGTATCCCTGAAATCTGAATGATTGATTGAAATGTTGTTTCAGGATCAATAAAAAATGTTGATCCAGGAGCATGTTATACTTGGTGAAATCACGTTCACCTTATTTCCCTGGATTCCATGTGTGTGGCTCTGTATTTGTGCATGTCTTTCTAATAAATATCAAATCTAACCACCTCAAGTGAGTCAAATGATTTTTTGGGAAATTTCATTTCTTTATTTCTATTTTATTTCTGTTAAAACCAAGCTAATGCCAACCTCAAACTTGAGAGACACTCTCTCTCCGTCACACGCTCTGCCCTGTTATTAAGCAATAAAGTACAGAGCCAGCTTCACGAGCGTCAGTCTCAATGACACTTTACACTGAAGGACGCATTACCATATATATGGAGGTCTGGGTGAACATACAAACACCTGTACTGAGTAAACACAGACTTTAATATCGTATCTGATATCCAGAAAATGGACTGACTGAACGTTTCTAGAGCGCATATATTTAGCAACAGAGCAAGAGAGATTTGGCCATTAGATATGGAAATATTATCATTCAGTGTGATGGCATATGTTAACAGCCTTTGGCAATGTGTGGTGATGGTATTTTTATGTGTGAATCACACTGTAGAGCTTTAATGTGAGGCTACATGGCCAAAATGTATAAGATGTAAAAGTTCCTCTATGACCCCGCTGTTAACTTCACAGGAGCCCCATCAAGCAGCCCGATTATCCCTTCAGGAATAAATAACATGTTCATATTCCTCTTATCAAAGGCCTCTCTGATCTCTACAAATACTGTGTGAACCAAACACAACCACAGTCATAAACACACTTACACACACCCACGCTGTACTGGTGAACCAAAGGTGGAGTATTTTACACATCACTGAGGAGGGGATAAGTGGAGATGGAGCTTTGATGAATAATGTGAGTGCATTTCGCTGCAGCAAGCGAGTGTGTGAGTGTCTTACGCCATCGGGAAGCTAGGTGTTAAAGTGGAAAATTTAGTACGTCGTCCCCATCATGGAAAAGCAAAACAAGCTCCACCATTGCTCACATTCAATATTTCATGAGCACTTGCCCTCCAGATCTTGCTAACATACGCTAGCAATTGAAGTGTGGTATTGCTGTTTAAACTTCTCCTGCCCCTGTGAAAAGGCCATCAGCGAAAAAGGTTTGTCGGTTACTGGAGAGCGAGGGAATACTGTAAGTGTTCGGGTAAAAATGTTTTAGAGTGTTCTTATGCAAACAGCAGCCAGATGAACACATCTGAAATGGTTAACGAAGGGAAATGAGTGGGAGAATTGGACACTCTTTCGCAAATAAACATCTATCCTGTGATGAACTTAATCTGATTCTTTTGTAATACTTTTTTGGGTACTGAAAACTTTCTACGGAGCCCCCAAGGCAGGTAGTGATGAAAAAAATGTGAGAAAAATTATACCTCAACGCATTGGCATTTTCTCTAAAACCTTTTGTGTTCTGTCACAAAAGTATTGTTTTCCCCCTGGAACTGCATTATCTCATGATTCCCATCACCAGTTTTACACTCACCAGCAAATTTTTGCAAGAGTACACGAAAGCACTGAAATATAATTTTCCCTCCCATTCCATTTTTTTCCCCATTAACAGTGGTATTGAAATAGTGGACCACGGTCTGTTCCAGATCATGGCTTGGGTCCATCATCACCACAGGACATAATTGTGGCATTTTACCATTTCTACAGTTTAAAGTGAGCAGCGCGGCAAAATAACAGAGTGGTTCATATCATAGAAGTTTTTGATAATGGTCTTCTGGTGCTACATCATTTAATATTTTTTATCTAGAGAGCCAAATGCACTTTATTCAAGCCCTTTCCACTCCATGCGTGTTGCCTCTCTCTCCTGCTAAAGACTAATGTGCCACATTAAGAGCTACAGGTGACAAGGTTATTTTAACAACAGTAGCAGAAACATGGTGAGCCGAATAATAGATCATTTTTCTAAGACACAGCAGAGAATGAGAATGAAACAAATACAATCATCTATCATACGGATGACTCCGACCAGGTTTGTGACAAGTTCACACGTGGCACTTTTAGATGTTTTGTTTTTTAATAAATTTAGCTTTATTAAAAGCATTTCATAAACAATGCTATGATTTGGAATATTATTTAGAGGTGGCAAGGGAAGACAAAAACTTTAAAAAATCAAGTCAACATTTTTGTTGTGCTCATAATGAGAGTTTTGATTATTAGATTATGTATGTTGCTTGTTTTACTAGTTTATTCAATGTAAAAATGGTCCATACTTTTCTTAAGAGGTAAACCCTGCTCTCCCACTATGTTTATGTTTTTGTTTCCCAAGGCCTTCTACTGTATATGCCATACAGGTAAGGAAGCAAGAGGTAGGTTTCTAAATGTAAAAAAAACATTGGGAGAAATATTTAGTTCTTTGTTAAAATTGGTAAAAAAAAAAAAAAAAAAAAAAGCTTAGACATCGCTGCTTTAGCTCTTATGGCCCAATATTCCTATTTTTGATGACTTTTTTTATCATTTGTTAAGTATACATTTTATTGTTTACTAGTAACGGCTAATTATAGGATTGAATTTACACACCTCTAAAAAGACTGAAAAGTAATTAAAAAGTCTGTGTAAATGCACATTTTGCGATAATTGTTTTAAATTTATTTAATAAAAATTGCATTACTTTTTTATATTTATTTTTTTAAAGTATAAAAGAATCACTAATTGCCATTAGAAAACGAATTGTTAAGAAGAATTGGAATTGTGCCATCTTGGACAACTATTACTCTGCATGTGAATATACTTACTAATATAGATTTCCTGAGAAATCTTGATCGTTTTTTATTTTGATAGCCCAAGGCTTTGTTAACAACCAATCAGAAAACAAGGCAATCAAAAATCCCTGTGAGAGATTTCATTCATTCAGGTCTGCTGACATTGGGTTTGCTGACATGTCTTAGTAGGTTGAGGTTTTGGAGACAGAGTGTTAGCAAAATGTCTGAAACAGCGCTCAAATTCGCACCCTGTTACTGAGACCATGTGTCACTCACCTGTGCGCTGACTTTGCTTTTGGCCACCACAGCTTGTTTGAGAGCCTGTCTGATAATGACGTGCAGTCTGAGCACAACAGGCTCGATGTCCTGCTCCCCTTTCATGGCAGTGGCGAGTGATCCCAATTCCTCCACGTATGCCCTCCAGTGAGGCTGCACCTCCGCCGCTCCCCCTAGACACGCTCCCATGGTGCTGACACACAGCGGCCGGCACGGCCGGGCCTCCAGCAGGCCTTGACAGTGAGGGCAGTACCAGAGCTTCAGCAGTGAGCGCCCGCAGTCCCTGCCTGCCCGCAGTGCTGGTGGTGTTGACAACTTCGATGCCCAGGTTCAGCGCTTGCAGGAAAACACGAGTGGCCAGGAGCGAGCGAGACAGCCGGGTCATCATCATCTTGGGAAACGACCCGAATGCAGAAGTTCCCCGCCAGGCCCCACGGAGGCATTCTTCCGAGATGCCAGTCACTGCCCCGTTGCCAAGAAGACGCCTGTATGTAAGAGGAAAAAGGTGGGAAAAGAAGGTGGAGACCATGTCGTTTACATTAGCGTCCGAGCCCAGGATGTAGAGCGACATGTCCATGAATAACTGTGTCACGGCTCCACTGGCTCCGGTGCCCAAAGTGGGAAACTCCTCCCGTATCAGCGTCAGAGTGGAATTACGACCTAGACGGAGCACCATGTCAAAAGCCTCTGAAAAAAAAAACAGAAAGAAAGAGATAAATTGAAGGATAATGACAGAGTACACTAACTCTCAGGAAAAAAATCTTTCGTCGTTGAGCAAATCAGCTAAAAATAAATGCATATTATAAGACGAATAAAGTGTTTTTTATCCTTGCATGCACGTTAAACTGTTTTTGGGAACTCCCAAAACAAAATAGGAACATTTCAAATGCTATGATAGGAGCTCTTGAAGCGAATATTTTTTTTATCTTTATGATCTTTATGTCTCTGTGCTGTGATGCGATTGGAAACCGTAAGTAACTGCAACTACATGTCAACTAGCAGTCATTAGATTATTGGTAAACTGCTTCATATGCGCAAAAAACTTTATTTTGATGGTTCCCCAACAGACATTCTACTGACTAAATGTAACTTGTCAACGTATTCTACTTAAACTGAACCCCAACAACAAACCTAAAAGTCCACTAACACTCTAGTAATTCTGTAATGGAGTTAGTTGACATGGAATAGTAGAATGTTTTAAGTGGACCATCGAAATAAAGGGTATCCCAAATAAATGATGTTCTTTTGATCTTTGATCTGACACAGCTACTCAATTGTTCTGTTCACAAATTTGTAGACGGCTTGTGATGAAGGCTTATGACTACTAGATAAGTTCTAACAACAGAACTATGTGCAACTGAATTAAGTACTAAATTGGACTAAGTTAGTTACTATGTGCATCTCTAACCAACCGCTTATCAAGGTCTTCAGGATTACTATAAATTTCCAAACAGATGTTATGGAGAAGGCTGGAGCTGAACAGAAAGGTGGTTCTCCAGGATCAAGTTTAGACACCCCTGATCTAAGGCATCAAATCTATTCCTTGACACTCTTAAAATGTTACTGATGCAGAGAAGTCAATGAAACAGAAAGAAAAGAAAGAAGAAAGAAATGAAAAGCTCTTGGATACGCAATAATCCACAGAATCTCTTCCTCACAGAGACGCGCACCATCCTAATCCCTAAAAGACGATAAAAAGTGAGAAAAAAGGAAAATAGAATTAAAGCTTCCTCTCTAGATGAAACCCACAATGTCCTTTTAAAACAACAAGGGTGCTTTTCAAGAGCCTTATAGCTTTAAAAATCGTTTATTCATCCACGCAGGATGCTGTGAGGGAGATTCTGAGATTTTCAGAAAACAGTGCACAAAGAGACGAGGCATAATCAGTAGCATCTGAAAGCTCACTGTGAAGCCTTATCAGCAAGCAGGCAAAGAGGGATTGTTACCGAACCCACCCAGGCATCCGGGAAGACCAGAGACGAGAGGCTGAGGGGATTTGAGGGCATGTGGAGAGGAAAAATAAAAGCTAGAGGGAAAATGACACATGAGTGAAAGAGGAAAAAGTGCCTCGAGTTCTTCATCCATAGAGGGTGAAGGTGATTGAGAGGTGGGGAGTCTGTAATTAGACCTTTAGTCTGCAGAGCTGTGATATAAGCATGATGCCGAGCAGACTGTTCACAGCCACATACGTGAAGAGCTCCATCTATCTCTCTCTGGGAGTCTGGCTCTCAGGGGCACAGGGTATTACATCAGCACAACATGATGGAGGAGTGAATGAATTGCAAAAATGAAATCTTATGCTCACCAAGTCTGCATTTATTTGATCGAAAATGCAGTAAAAACAGTAATATTGTGAAATATACTATTTTCTATTTAAATATTTGATGCTGAAGAAAAATTTCTTATTATTGTCAATGTTTAAAACAGTTGTGCTGCTTTTTGATAACTTCAGTTTTGTTTCAGGATTCTTCGATGAATAAAACGTTAAAAAGAACAGCATTTATTTGAAATAGAAATATTTTTTTAACATTATACATGTTTTGACTGGACTTTTAATCAATTTTAATGCATCCTTGCTGGATGAAAAGTATTAATTTCTTAAGTAAAATCTAACCCCAAATTCTTGAACAGCCACAGTGTACAATTTAAGAAATAGCTAGTATCAAAGTCACACAAAAAAATGAACATGAAAAATGAACAAAATTAACAGAGCTATTGTATGTTTAGGAATAGCATATTATGCAATATATACTCTCTATTTTAAAACATACTTCTTACCAATATAGTATTTGTATAGTGAAACAGTATAGAGTATCTAACCATAAATATTTTAAACAATAGTATGCTACACGGTTGTCAGATGACCTCATTAAAGAATAGAATTATATTAAAGTAGGCCAATAGATTTTATCATACATATTTCAAAGTTAAGGATTCATTATTTTGATATAGCTTGCATTGGAAAACAGTTGATAGTTTATTTTTTTGACAAAACATACTATATATTTAAAATATGAGCAGAAACTGTCTAACAAAAGCTTATTTAATGTCTATTGTATAGTAAATATAGTAAAAACTTTATAATCTATTTCGTCTGGACTGGAGCAGTAGGCTATGCATCTGTGTGTTCGTTCGTTCATTCACACACACAGACACCCGATTCATATTTAAACAGTCTTTTTGGTTTAAAAGATAGCCTACTATTCTGTCGCAGTTAGAACAAAATGATCCTTGAAATGAAACTACCATCTGAGGTAACTTTTCCAGGATTATTAGATAGTATTATTCCTCACTGCGCAGCAAGACAAGGTAAAGGTAAGGACGAGGTAAGATTTGCGTTTGAATAGCACGCGTTCTCAGTGGACGTGGTTCGCTATAATTTCAGTACGTGAAAGGAAAAAGACTGACATCTCTTTCTCTTCATACAGATTACATCAACTGAGAATAGTTGTTTTTATATAAATTACTTCATGAAGATAATTTCAGCTTCATAAAGTGTCTCTGTGACAAGTATTTACTTAGTTACAGTTCATTTTTCTGACGTGTTTCAGAACTTCAATGACAGAAAAAAGGCAAAACGCGCATCATGTTTCCTTTATTTGACAAAAAACAGAACACTTTGTTTTTATTGTGAGTATGCAACTAAAAAAATAGACACTTAACAGGATCGAATGATGTATAACACTCATATGTAAGATCAAAATCAGCAGAGTAATTTGAGTCTCTTTTTCACTCATAGACCATTTTGCAAGATGTAAACAACACTGGTCCAGAAACACTTCCTGTTTCAGTTTGTAACTGTTTTCTTTATTTCACATGTAAAGATGTTTGTTTTAACTTTTTTGATTCAGTTTTATGTTCTGTTGGTTGTATTTTATCCCAGCTTTTATGTAGTGTTAAAAAACTGAAACAGGAAGTGCTTCTGGACCAGTGTTGTTTACATCTTGCAAAAATGGTCTATAAGAAAAAAAAGGAGCTGGTATCACCGGCGATAGGCCTACTGCCGACCCCAGAGGGTTAATCTCAGTAATATAAACATTTATTTTGCATGTTTAATTTTGCGTAAAGAATGTAACCTTTTGGCAGTCTGATCAAATGATGAGTCAATGACGGAGGATAGATATCGCAGATAATATTGCCTCCTCGGGTTCATTTGTCTCACTGAAAATGGAAGGTCAAGTGGAGCGCATTGCATTGTGGGATACAGCATCTCACACTGTGCACTCTGCTTGCACGCAGCACATTTTGGCAAATGCATTAAATCACCCGAGTATTCCAATAGCCTACAGAAACACAATTTACATACTGTGCACAGCATAAATACTGCATACTGCAACACCAGGAGTAGTATGGCATTTTGAACATTCCCATTGAGGCATTCAACAGCAAAGCGGCTTAGAGATCAGACAGCATACACATACACAGTCAATGAATGATGTGTGGGTGTTTGGCTGAGCTTTATCATCCCGGGGTGAGTAATGTGGTGTTTAGG